CTGTATTGTTATGTGCATCATTAGTTCATTCCTTTTCATTGCTGAGTTGTATCCCATTTTTTTTACTGTACCACAATTTGTTTATCCATTTGCCTATTGATAGGCATTTAGGTTGTTTCCATTTGGGGATATCATGAATAAATCTGCTAGGAAGGAATTTTGTAGATGTGTGTTTTCATTTCTCTTAGGTAAATAATTAAGGGTGGAATTGCCATGTCATAGGGAAGATTCAAATCTAACTTTGTAAGAAATTGCCAAACAGGCCTTTACTGTGGTTGTACCATTTTATAGCCCATCAGCAATATATGAGAATTCCAGTTGCTCCAGAGCCTTGCTGACATTTGATGTTGTCAGTCTTTTTTATTTTAGTCATTTTAGCAAGTCTGAAATGGTATGTCATTATGGTTTTAACTTGCTTTTCCCTGATGACTGGGTATGTACATTTTAAATTTTGAATTAACCCCTGTAGAGATGAACTAATTTATACCATTATCAACAATTTTCACACTTAGTTTAAGTATGTTTTGCAGTCTGCTAAAATAAATATTTACTGTGAAAAATTTCCTTTTTAAACTTGGTAACCCTCAAATGTTTGTGCTTAATGTTCATTAATGATATATTCAGAAAGTATAAGAAATAAGTGTTAATTCATGAACACTTTAGTCCCATATCATGAATTGTGTGGGGGATTTTCCGCTAAAGAGAACATGGGGGAATAGGAGATGAAAGAATAACTCAAAGGCATGTACATTTCTGTAGAGTATGTGATATAACTAAGGTTAAATCTAACTTCTCGTTTTAGACTACCTCTTTAAATCAGTGTTTACTAAGTATCTGTTATGTGCTGGGCTCTTACTCCATTTTTATTTCATCAGAGGAGGGTTGTTATTTTTAGTATGTGTGACGTTAATGCAATAGGAAGTAACACACTTACATCACTAGATTTTGGGGTTCTGGGGAGCCAATTAACAGAAATTCATGTTAATATTAACAAAAGTAAGTTTTATATTATAATACGTAGTGGTAGAAAATTCAGAAAATATTTTTGGTTAAACATAGTAGATCAAACATTTACCTCTACTTTTTCCTGCAACACCATTAAAATATCAGAAAGGATTTCTTAAAAGGCAGAAACCCACAGGGACAGAACTGGCAAGGACACAGCACAGATGTGACATCCAGAAAAATTTGGAAGCTGGAAAGCAGATGGAGGATGGGTAGCAACTGGCTTAGCACACCAGAGAAAGCTGAAAGCTAAGTGTCTACAGGGAAAATGTTGGCTCCCGCACTGGAAAAGCTTGGGAATTGGAGGCTCAGAAGATACCTCTACATCAAGGATGTAAGGTTGGCCTGGAAAGGAGGTTGGAAGAGTATTCAGGAAGCACTCAGGCCTGATATTCCCTCTCTACCAAGCAGAAGGCTGGAGGTTTATTTTTTAGAGAACATGAGCTAGAGGAATTGTGGGCTCAGGGATCAGGCACAACTCAAGAGAGAAGTATTATATAGAAAATGAGGATTGAATGAAAAGCTTACGGACTGAGTGGTGAGACCCATAGCCGCTTCCTGCATTTAGCATCTAGAACTGTGACAGCTAAATCTGTCTTCCTCTTTGGGAAACCAGCTGCTATTCTCAGAGATAAAACCTCCAGATACCACATGAAAGTCCTCCCAACAAATGGCCCAGCCCCTCTCTGTCCCGTGGAGAGTTACTCCTGGAGAAGGCTTGCCTTCAACCACAGAGCTGCTTGTTGCCTCGTTTAAGAAAACCTCAAGTAGAAAAGATGCCAACCAAATCAGACGCACAAACCAGGAGAAACTCAAAGGAAACAAAATGCAGAGGACAGATGGAAACTTTTTAGAAATTAATGAATATTATCACAGAGATTGGAGAAAATATCATATATATGAAAACAAGAGTAAGACGTTGATAAACCAACAATCAGAGAATTACAGAAAAAGTTCATAGGAATTAAAAAATGTGATGGCCAAAATAAAAAAATAATTAGAATAAGTGAAAGATAAAGTATCTTTCAGTGTCCCAACAAGATGAAGAGTATGACAGAAAAGCTATAGATGATCAGTCCGTGGGCCCCCAAATCCTAATACAGGCCTTCTAAAGGAGAAAATGGAAAATGGCAGAGGACAAATTACCAAAGAAATAATACCAGGAAAGTCCCCAGGATTGACGGTCCTGAGTTTCCTTATTGAAAGTCCCTCCAAGTACCCAACCCAAAACATGAGAAGCTTGAAGTTTCAGGACTCCAGATAAAAAGAAAACAATCTTAAGTCTTCCCAGAAGGAACTGTAGGTTACAAGGAGTTGATATTGAGAATGGTAAGAGAGACTACATCCCGACTGAGAGCTAGACGCAGTACAGCAGTGCCTTCAAAATTGTGAGCAAAAACGGATTTCTAACCTAGAAAACCATACCCGATTTTTAGGGTGAAGGAATAAAGACTTTCAGATGTGAACAATCCTTAAAACTTCACCTTCCGTGTACCTTTTCTTAAAAAATGTTCCACCAAGAGAGAATAAGCAAAGAGGAAACCTGGGGTTCAGAAAACAAGGTTTCCAACCATAGGCAAAGGGAATTCCTAGGATGATCAGAAAGGAACATTCTAGAACAATACCTGTGTAGCAGGCCTGGAGAGTAGCTCCAGGTCTAGGGACTCAAGAAGGATATGTATTCAAACGGATAAATTATCTGTGGGTGCATATGCCATACTTGTTCATCGGTCAGAGTTTAGAGATACGTAAGCAGAGATATGTTTTAATGAAGTAATGAGTGAACTGTCAGCACCAGGAAAAATAAAGTGTAAATGAGAAAAGAAAAGGTCTCAGGACAGCGTGGGTCAGGGTGAATAATATTTACAAAGCCAGAGTGAGGTGAACATTTGCATATTGAATTGCCCAGAAGTGTGTTGCATTGTAATTGGCAGCTAGCAGAGGAGAAATAATCCCTCATTTCAGAGGGTTCGGTTATTGTGTCACATTATTCCTGTGCCCTCTCCCTTCCCTCCTGTACAAAGTGTTGTTTTGAATCTTAAAACAACTTGTCTTTCTTTGTCTTCAGAGAGCGAAACTTGTCTTGGCCTGGAACCAAGTAAAGAGAGCCAACATAAAGAGGAGGCGGCCCGGGAGAGCAGTCCCTGCTGTCATCCGATGGCGCGGCCGGCCGACCCCCCGAGCCTCCTGGTAGCTGCAGGGAGGGGCCGCACGGCGGAGCCACTGGGCAGCGCCGAAGCCACAAGGGAGCTCCACGCCCAGCCCTCGGAGGCAGCCGGGAGCAGCAGGTCTGGGCCACGCTCCTCCGAGAACGCTTGTGAGGGTGGCCGCTGCCTGCAGCTGGCTCAAACAGAGCTCTGCCAAGATGTGACCGGAATCGAGGGCGCTGCTGAAGACCCTGAGCTGCCCCTTTCCAGCGAGTCAGTGACAGAGCCGTTGGTGTCACCGGGCTCTGACCATATACCTCCTGCCTCGATTTCTGAGGGTGAATGTTCACAGACTCCAAGAAAGGCACTCCAGTTGCCACTTGAGGATGCTTCTGAGGCGTCGCCCACAGACCAACTTGAGAACAATGAATTAAATGAGCTGCAGCAACCCGACCTCACAGGCACTGATGGAAAATCACCGCAGGGGCAGACTGACTCCCAGAGCTCCGAGAGTGTACTTTGTGAAAATAGCAAAGTATCTGACTTAAGTGCAGCGCTTGCAGAGGTGTCTATGGCCCCAGAGGAAAAGGGAGGTAAGGAGGAACGTGTCAGTGAAGAAACGGAAGACTATTTGCACAGCCTTTTAGAAGGATGTTTAAAAGATGCTGAAGAGTCCCTTTCCGGTGAGGAGGAAGACTCGGACCTTCTTCAGGATCTTTCTCCAGATGAAGCATCCTACACCCTCCAGGAGAACCTGCCTTCCGATGATAGCTGCCTCTCTCTTGATGATCTTGCAAAAAGGATAGAGATTGCAGAGGTAACTTTGAGATTTGGTATAAATACTATTAAGAGGAAAATTAGAAAGAAAAGAAAAAAAGCACATATGTGCTATATAGTGCCTTGTTCTTATAAATTTCCCCTGGTCTCAAACATGAGGGAAATTTTTAATGTTACTTTTAATCATTAGTGGTTTCGCTTATTGTAATCATTGTGTTTATGCTTCCAGGAGTTATATTGTGTGCCTCCAAGTACAGTAAGTGATGTGAATATCATTTTTTTATATTCCTATGACTTTTATTTGGAAGTCCTAGGAGTTACGATCAAGACAAGATGAGTCACATTCTTGTAAGGAAATCTCATTTTTCTTCTCATACATCTAGAAGATAAAATATATATATATATATATTCTCTTGTTTCTTAATATAGTTTTAGTTCTTTAAAACAATATCATAGAAAGAAGGAAGCACTTTAAAGTACAATAAGACTAGGAGATACTGGATGGATTTTTAAACCATTAAATTGTGTATCGGGAGGGTTCTCTTTCATACAGTATTATTGTTTAAGCTCTAGATTTGAACAAGCAATACTTGTATTATTACTTGTATATACTAAAACAAATATTATGAATAATTCAAAGTTGTAAAGTTTCTCTAATCAGTAATGAGGGTAACAAAAACCAAAAGGAAAAAAATGAGGAGAGGATCAAGATGACCATTCTCCTTTGTTTGATAAACAATTTTTTAAAGTTCGGAAAGAAAAGATAAAAGCCATACCAAAACTATAGCCCGTCAGGAACGCGGCCTGGTACAGTGGAAAGAGCATGGTCTGGTAACCTTGGTTCAAATACTGACCCCACCAGTTATCAGTCTTATGGAGTTACTTCTGACATTTACCTAAGTCTGTTTCCTGTGTCCTCCTCTGAAAATTAGGATACTAACTACCTTTCTTCGTCTGCATCTTACGTTTTTTTTCCAAGTTAGCTTTTAAGTCCTATTTATATCCAATGTTTTCTAATTTTGTAATATCACTGAAAAAAAAAAACTTCAAGTGGAAAATGGAAAAGTAACAAAGCCAAAGTAGACAGCAAAATAAACATAAAAATAGAACCCTGTGAAAGCTTTCTAAGATAATTGTAACTGTTGGATTGCTAGTTTCCTTTATTGAAGGAATTGATGTATAGTTAACTGTCTGTCAAACGTATAGTTAACTGTCCGTCAATCATGATTTTTTCTTCTTAATTTTTTCTTAAGATTATTTAGTAGCGCTTAATAAGTGCAGTGTTTCTGTTTAGGGTGATGGAAGTTCTAGAAATAGATATAGGTAATAGTTGTACAGCATTGTGAATGTAATTAATGCCACTGAAGTGCACATTTAAGAATGGTTGAAGTGGTAATTTTATGTTATGTTTACTTTACCACAACTTTTAAAAATAGTGAAAAAAAAAACAAAACACTAAAATAAATAAAGCTAATAGGACAGTGCTAGATCCAGTATTCCTCCGCTTGTTCATTTTTACCAGACCTCTGATACAGCAATTTATGAAAACCAGGGACACACTCATATTCAAATCTAGCTATAAAACCAAAAGGCTGCCATTACCTGACTGCTTCTTTTTACAGCAGTAGTTCAGTTGACCTTATGGGGAAAAAAAACATATGATCTAGTTTTACGTTTTTAAGTATAAATTGTGAAGAAGCATCAGGGTGCTCCTGTTGAGTCAGTCTCCTTGTCTTAAGGAACATTTTGTGGTGAGGCGTTACTGTTGAACTAACATTGTGCTAAAACTAAATGGAATATCCCTTCCTCAAACTCATAATTTCAGTTTTTCATACTAGATAACACCTCGTGGTGGAAACTATGTGTATTTGCATTCTAAAGTTGTCTTTTCTGTGAAGGTACTTTCTATAGGTGATAGTCCCCTTTCCTAACATACTGTTAGTCTGTTAAGCTGTGCTGTTTTAAGAACCCCCAAGAGCTACATATGATTTACAAAGCTAATTGACTTTCCTATAGTAATGCTAAACAGACTGTTTTCTGAATACTTCCTTCTTCATCCTGAGAAGGATATGCACGTATACCTTAAGAATGAGGTGTGGGGGCTAAGGAAAACTTGCAGGTAATCGTGGGCTTGCTTATAAGTGTGAGCCTTTTCTTTTTTCTTTTTTTTTTTTAATGCAAACATTGTTTCCTGCCTTCTGGAGGGATCCCCCATGTGTCAGGTGCTGAGCACGCAGTGAACAATCAGAATAAGTTCTGGCCTCTGGGGCCGCCCTGCTGCCACACCATTCGTTTTACTGGAATTGTTTTTGATGTCAGAACCCAACCCCCCTTTCCCCGAGGAACCTGCTAATGCTAATAAACCATTGACTTTCTGGGTTCGAGAATTTGGAAGGGTTGCATTGTCTTCTTTTTAAGCTCTTCATCTGTTCCTAGCATCAAAGCCTGAGAGAATTCAAGATGGCAAATTACCTTATAATTCAGAGACCCTCTTCTGAGCAGATTCTAGCAACATGATAATCCTTATGGAGATCAACCATTCATTTTCTTCATTAACATACACATCTGTAATCTATTGGCAGAGATGTCGTGTTCAGAAAACTATATGCTTCAGATTCAAGTAATTTTCATTTTTAGGAATAATGTATAGTGTAATAGTTGAGGAAGTAGCCACTTTATTACTGCTTGGGTCTTTAGAAAGCTTTTAACCTAAAAAAGGACAAAATGTGTTCCCTGACATCAGTCTAAATTGGCACCGCTTACCTGGATGTATCTTCCGGTCTCCCTGTTTCACAGAAAACAAAATAGGGCGGGGCATAACCCAGAACTTTCTGACGGGGAAAAGATGACAACCCAAAATTGCTGTTCCACTTGTCTTCAAAGAAGCTGTCTAATTCGAAGTGACTTCTGTGGCGTCTTCGTCCCTCTCTCTTGGCTAGATCCCTGAGATCAGGGAAATTAAGTTACGTTAAGACCTGCCACCATGGGACACGCTTACCAAGTTAAGATGGGAGGCTCGGGCTACGCAGTAGTGTTTTATGGCACCGTGTAAGTAGCCGTTCTGTGGCTCTCAGACAAAGGACGGTCTTAGAAACAGCAGTCATGGCCATTCTGCCCAGAATGGCTCTTCGATGGGGAGCAGGAGAAGTCCATCTTCCTTTCAATAGAGGAAATGCAGTCTTCCGGTTACAGAAGAGGGTTCATGGAAAACAGTTGACCCAGGGTTTATGTAAATGTCTACAGTGCCCCGTAGGATCATCCACAGATTAGCTATCTTTGTGCCAGATGGCTTCATCTTTGCCTTTCTTTATCCTGCCCTCTCAATTTCCTAATTAATTAAAGCTTCTCTGGATTATCATGTCTCTTGCACCCAGCTCTTTCTCCATTTTAATTCTGTTAATTTACATCTTTACTGCCTCTTCCTGGACTTCTGCAACAGCTGCCTAACAAGTTTTCCCATCCCTCATATAATCTCCCGCTCCAGATGGTCCTACACCAGCACTGGATAAACGTGGGGTCTCAAATTGATAGCCAAAGGGGCCAGTCAGGTAATAAAAGTAAATGAAATGGCTGTTGCAGAGCGATAAGGAGAAGGTTCCCATGCCTGTCTTGAGTTATTCAGCATTTTAAAACACTGCAGGCGAAACCAAACCCACCTGAGGACCTGGCTGTAACACATAGACTGTTAGTTTCAACTCCTGCTATAAAATACTTCTTGCGTTGTCAGCCTCTTCCCATGACACCTTTTGGCTCCAGAGTAAAGGCTGTGCTACATGGCTTGGTATTCAGGACACTTGGGAATCTGGCCCATTCACCTTTCCAACATCGTCTCCTACTGTTCCTTTGTTCTCAGCCTGTACTGTAGTCAGACCAGCTTCCTCGCTGCCACCCAGATACACCTTGCATATTGTCACTTCGGATCTTTAGCATCTGTTACCCTGCTCTGGAGTGAGGCACCTCCTTTGCACACATTTATTTCTCCCAATCCTGCCGACCTAGGCCGTGCCTTTTTAGCATGTAGAGTGCCAAATGCAGTGCCTGGCTCGTGGTCAATATCTAGTAAACGCCAAGTGCTGCCATTATTCTTTGGTCACTGAAGCCTGTAACGTTTATTCCTTTCAGACTGTTCCTCTGAACTTCAAAGGAGGGAGGGGCTTGAACATCATCCCTCCTGAAGTCCTCTAGCTGTGACCTTACCTTGTGATTGTAGGACGCACACACGCATACACACTCTTCTGCACTAAATCACAAACTCCTTAAGCATAGGGATCCTGTTGAATATGGTTTTGTATTCTTATAAAAAACCCACACAAGCTATACAGCCACCCCTACACAGTAAGACTCTTTTCCTTTTTACTGAGTTGACTTTGAAAACTAAATGACCTTTAAGAACAGATTTAGTTTTTATTATTTAAGGGGGAAAGCTGTGTTACTCCAATAAATATAGGTTAGGTGCTATCTGTACGTAAATTCCTCATCCGTGTGTTCATGTACTTTTTGGCATATTCACTGAGCACCTGTTAGAGTCTAAAAACGGGGGAGATGCCCATGAATGCAAATCAAGGCTCTATTCTCATGAGGCTCCTGCTCTAGAGGGAAAGACACACAATGAACAAGCTCACATGAAAATAAACTGTAGTTCAGAGATTGGTGAGGCTGTGAAGACCTCTCAGGGGGAGGGGATGAGACAGATGGAACGGGTGGGTGGGGTGGAGGATCAGGGTGTCGGGGACAGCAGTGCGAGGACCAGCACAGAGGGACATTCCCCAATGAAGAAGGAGGTATTTCCTATAGAGCCTCGTTAGACCAGGAGAAGGAACTGGAATGACACTCACTCTGTGGTGGTGGAAAGCCACGATTCTGAGCAGATGTGACCTAATGTGCTTCCTGGCCGCTCTGTGGAGACTGGAATGCGGGAGGAAGGGGCCAAAGAGTAGAGGCCAGCCAGGTTATTGCAGTGGTTCAGGTGAGAGGTCATGAAAGGAAGCATTCAGGTCGTAGCAGGACGTGGGGCGAAGATATATTTTTGAAGGAGGCCTT